TACCGCTGTCGTCAAACTGTCCTGTCTGTCTCGGAGGTTGTGTTCACTGAGAGGCTGCTGAGCCCTGTTCAGTTGCTAACGGCAGCTACATTAGCTCTCTCTATATATATTCTCTCCGTAAAATATGATCCAGTTTCACCCAAATCACTGATAAAGTTGTGTGTTTGTACAGTTAGTTGCTGTTAGCTGGCTAGCTAACTAATGAATCTTTGCTCTGTATCGCTAAAATTTTGAAAAAAAAATCTGAATATCACGTCACAGAGTTATACGCTTGTGTTATGCGTCACAATCACCATTCAATGTTTACCTTCACTTTCCAGTAGGTGGCGCTATGAGTATGACTGAATATTTGTGTGTAGATGTGTTCAAGGTGGGACTCTTATCAAACATCTGAAGTTTGATCGAGATCGGACAAAGTGCATTAAAGTTAACTTCCTGTTTCATGGCGAAATGTCGAAAATCGCCGCCAAGCCACGACCACGCCGTTTAACGCACAGGAACAAATAGAACAACGTTTAATCATGATGGTCTTTAGATCATAACGACCAAATCTGAAGTCGATCTGATAGATTCCCTACAAGGAGTTAAAATACAACATGTTCAAATCACCACAAATTAATTCAAACGTGTCTTGACGGTTGTGTTTTAGGGGGCGTGGTTAAACCTTTTTGCCCCGCCCATACGTAGGAATTTTGTGCCGTGTTTGGGTTTTTGAGCGAATTGCGACCTCCAAAAATTTGATTAATTTGTGAATAAAATAATAACTTCCTTCATCACCTTCAGGATTATTTCTTTCTTAATCTCTTTTAATCTCCAACCTACAGACTGTTTTTCTCGTTTAAGCCTTTTTTTGTCCGCCAGAAGTCGTCAGCGACACGCTTGTTTTTCCCGTATCGGATTAATCCGGAGGAGGGATGAAATGAAAGGAGGAACCACTCAGACACCCATTTTCCGTGCCTCCTGATGCCTGAAAAAGACGGACAAAGAGGGAGTCATGTGATCAGAATCTATTCACACCTGCAGGGAGCCTCTGCCAGGCCGCCACCATTAGGATTTTTGTGCCCGTGGAGGAGATGAGGTTTCTGTCATATAAAGGGCAGACAATGGCGAGGGGGAGGACGGCGCCTCACAAGACTTTGATAAAGATACATCAGCCTCGACAGATGTCTTTATCTCACAGGTTTGGTGCTGATTGAACAGCCTTCATGAGTGGGTTTTTTTTAGCAATCAATACAAACGCTCTCTTCAGAAATGAAGCGTTGCTCAGGGGAACATCCATTTTCAACGTGACCCAAAAAAAAAAAACCCTCACTTAAAAGCATCACAGCTGACAGGTACTGCAGTGGATGCCACAGTAAGTCAGCGGGCGCCGGAGGATGCTATAATTCACTCTGACACCGAATCAGCGTTACAGGCCACTTCAGTAACAGCTCGAGTAAAACACACCACATCCGCAGGGGGAAGGACAGGCCACCGGTAAACGAGACTGACTGGAAACAAAAGGGCAGAGGGATTGTGTAAATAATGCACATGTATCTTCAGACACAATGTAAAGCTAATGGCTAATGCTACAGGAAAGTGTCACTTCTCCTCCAATATCCTGCTTTCAAAAGGCCGCAAGTGCAAAACAGGCACCGAAAAAAAAAAAAATCACACATTAGATAAAGCTTCCTTCAGTAACATTCACTTTATAAATCACCTAAAATGTTCATTTAACTCAGTAAAATTGTTCAAAATGATTATATTGAACATTTTATGTAATACAAATTTTCATTTTTATAAGTTAAACAAACATTTTTGATCAAGTAGTTTTAGACTTTTTATTCAAACTGTAAAAACAAATAACTAATAAAAGCTGCTGAATCTATTTGAACTTAAAGAATTGATTTTGGGGATTTTCTTATGGAAATATGAGGCTGTTTTTATCTAACAGACGGTTGCTGATTAACAGAAACAATATTTAGTGATGTTGACAACTATTCCTGACACAGTTTTTATTATTAGCCTGAACTGAAAATAACACATGATGTTAAAAACAGGCAAATATTTCTCAAATATCAAACAGCACAACTTGTGCTTAATATTTTCAATGAGTCAATCACAATCAGACGCACAGCGATCAGTATGAACCGTTCGACCTTAATTTAAGCTCGTTGTGTCGTACCTACGGTCACTCTCAGGTGTTCCTTGTTGGTGTTGATTGGTCGGTTGCTCTGCCCTCTTATATAAGAGACTCGTTCTCTCTCAGACAAAGCAGCCTGATGATCGGCGTTCAGGCCTCAGTCCTGTGTTTTATTCTTTGAGGATGGAGGTCTGATAGTCCAGTTTTCAGTCCTTTGTTTCTTACTTCATAGACCTCCACACTCCCACAGTTTGTTAATTACCAGCATTATTTGTGAATATTAATTACAACTAAATATCAGGCGGCCATTTGTCGCTCTTGTCAAGATGCTGAACTTTAATTCTAAATATTAAAGCAAATGTACAATAAATACACATTTTTAAAGCATTTTAATTCTTCTTCTTCGTCTCTTTTTAAGCTGGCGTATCGTCAGTGTTTAAAACTAAAGTCAAATTTATGTTTTAAGATGTTTCATTTAAACAGCTCGTTGTTTTATTCCCCAATAAATCGCAGCACGTCTCACACATTTGACCACAGCCCCGAAGACACGTTTGACCGATATGTATGAAACTCGGTAGGCATGTGTAAGGTGCCGAGACGTACAAAAAAGCCTCTTGGACCCATGCCCCAAAACCCACAGGAAGTCGGCTATTTTCATTTTTGTGGTAATGTTTGGTGATTTGCGCACGTTGTATTTAGCAATCTCTTCCCAGGGAATTGATTGGATTGACTTCATATTTGGTCGGTGCAATCTAAAGACCACCACAAGTAAGATTCGTGCTATTTGTTGTTGTGCGTAAAACGGTGTGTCCGTGGCGTGACGTGAATTTTGACGTTTCGCCATTAAACAGGAAGTTGTCGTAACTTCTGTGTACTTCGTCCAATCTCAATGAAACTCGTCGAAGATTCAGTAATACTTTTTGTGAACCAACAGATTATAACAATATTTCAGAGATAAATTTCCACTCTGGGACAACAAGCCCTGCTCCACTCGTCCCCTTTTACACTTTCTGACCGTTGAAATGCTTCATTGATCTTATTGTCTGCAGCTCCTTCTGTGCACATGAACTGTTGTTGACATGTAAAACCTACCAGATGTAGACGAGACAAATTCAACATTCATTCATTATAGCTCTAGTTCTGCATTATTTATAGATTATTCACTCAGAAATACTCAGAATCAGAGTTGTTCTGTACTGGCCTGTAAATATCAGCAGATCTTTTACAGATGGAAAAGGACTGATTGCTGATTGAAGAGTTGTTTTCCTTTAGTCTGAGTTCTGTGTTAACAGTTTTTGAAAAATGTGTGAAACAAATGAGTGTGAACACACTTGCGAGACAGAGACTTCTGCTGTGCTAACAAGGTGATGATGATGAAGATAAAGTGGATTCATTAAGTGTGTCTTAGCATTCGAGAACAACCCTAATACCCAGTTTTTCTTTCTCGTATCCATCCGTTCTCCTCTGCTTGGTCAACTGGAACTTTCTACATGTGTTTTTGTGCACCATTAATTACTAATTATTATATTATAAAACTGTCATGACCTCTGACCTCAAGATATTAGAATGAAAATGAGTCTTATTATCTCTCTTTTACATGAGCAGCTCAGACTCTCCGTGTCCACGCTGGAAGCACAGAGAGTCCGCTGGAGCTTTTACAGTCACTAGAAGCACATTCATGCTGTTTCTGTGTGCTACCTGTGTTGTGACGTTAGCTAAGCTAGCAGCTCAGAGAGGCTAACTCTCCAGTGTCTACGTCGCAGCCCGCAGTCAGCAGAGGGTTGGTTGGTTGGTGACGTCAACCACTAGAGGCTGGTCACTGTGCAATTATATTTGGACCTCAATCAATCAACAAAACTAGTAAATACCCAGATACAGAGTCTCTGATCAACAGCATCGTCCTGCAGTAGAAAACAACCAAAGAGCTAATAGAACAAAGAGATTAAAACACTGATTCTGTCAAAAAAAAAAAGCTTATTAAGTCTTTATGATAGAAATTTTAAAAATGTATAACACAGAATTATGTAAAGTGCCTAAAAATATCAGGAAAACTAATCCCTGATCAATATTGACAGGAAATAATCTGCTCAAAATTCATCAAATCTCTGGTTTTACACAAACTTCCTGCAGTTATTGAGCTTGACACTGTTTGGGTTCATTGTTCAGTTAATCAAAATATAATCTGCTTACTCACTGACAGAAAAAGGTTGGGAACCTCTGGTATAGGTGATCAATTAATGTACGAAGTAACAGTAATTTAACACTATTAAATCCTCCATTAACTAATCACTTAAAGTCATAGTGAATTGATCATTTATTGATGTTGAGAAACAGATTCATGATGCATCTGTCTGAGGGATAAATTCAGTGAAGTAGTTTGTGAGAGAGATAATGAAAATGTTAAAAAATGTCAATAATTCCTTCATCAGATCCACAAAAACAAATAATTTGCTTAACTTTTTTTCTAAATTTCACCCAAATCTGTCTCACTGACTTAAAAAGCAACATGAAAACATAAGAACAGACTCTTCTGGTGGAGATAATAACATCAGAGCGTTTCCAAAAGATTCATCTCTTTCCTTTCATGTCCTATAAATATAACTTCCAAAGTATTCAAGTTTTAGATCTTTTTCTTAAACATCTTTTAAGCAGTGAACGGCTGTGGCTCTGCTGTAAAGAGCTCTGTGCTCCCGGCTGTCAGAGCTTTAAGCTGCTGGCTCGTTCGGATGTTTTGGCTCCTCTGTTTACACGAGTAAATCCCCATGCTGGAGTCTCTGTGTCAGCCTTCCGCTCCACGCCGGCCCAGCCACCCCCTCCTTTATAAAACACAGGAAACACAACATAAAACCAGGGCCTGGCTCCAGAGTCATTCACAGACCCTGCAGTTAAAACCTGCTCTGTGTGCTTTAAATAATCCCACTCTTCGTTTCCTCCCAACAGCCTCAAGACAACCCTGCAGAAGAAGCTCTCCAGCGACTCTGTCGACCTGTCCGGCATCCCTTTGTCCGCCCGCGACGTCCGCCAAGTCGCCTTCTACCTCCAGAACAACAGAGACAGCGTGGTGGCCGTGGACATCAGCTTCACGGAGCTCCAGGACGAGAACCTGCGGATCCTCCTGCCTCTCCTCGCCTCGCTGCCCAAGCTCAGCACCCTGGCTCTCAACGGCAACCGCCTCACGCTGTCTATCCTCAAAGATCTCACCGAGATGCTCAAAGACCCCAAGATGTTCTCCAACCTGGCCTGGATCGACCTGGGCAACAACGTGGATATATTCACCATGCCGCAGCCGCTGCTGGTCGCGCTACGCCGCCGCTGCAGCCTGAAGAGCAGCTTACCGACTATCTACGAGTACACGGAGGGCCAGCCCTACTGCTACCACCTGGAGACCTCCATCGAGGAGCCCAGCCACTACGAGGAAGAGGATGAGGACGAGGACGACGAGGACGACATGGGGAACAAATTCGAGCTGGAGCCGTGGACGCTGGGGGAGAAGCAGCTCTCCAAAGACTTCACCCTGCACTACTGCGAGAGGTGATGGAGGCGTTTCCTCTCTCACGCTTTCTTTCAACTGTGGTTGAAAATGTCGTCCCACGGCACTCTGTTACTTCCTTCGCCCTTTCACACCACGAGCCCAGTCACCCTTCGAAGGGGAATGAAAACTTGTCGTCCCCCCGGAACACGGCTACCAAGCTAACCCTAAACCATCTCTGAGTTAACCCACACAAGATGACAGCGAAGCGACTTACTGTGTTGGTGGATGGCGCTCTTGGGAACGAGGTGCGGTTTCATTGGAGGGGGGCTGGAAGAGTTAATGAACCGATGCGCGCTCTCTCTCTCTCTCTC